ATATTCCTTCTTCCTCATATTTTCGGAGTTCTTCTTCCTCATATTTTCTAAGTATTATTGATTGATTGTATGTTATTATGTTTACAATGATTCCTATATATAGAAGAGAAGAATAGGTAGTAGGTGGAGTAGGTGAAGTGGAGTAGGTGAAGTGGGTGGAGTAGGTGTAGTGGAGTAGGTGAAGTGGGTGAAGTAGGTGATAGGTTTTAACACACATCTTAAGTAAACATCTCTGAATCTATAAAATCTCTTAAGTATCGTTACATCAACACTTCAGCACTGCTGCATACAAACAGAGTTGGAACAGACTAAGCTAAACTCTATCAGGAACAAACTTCCTGCACTAGTCTTACTCAACTCCAGCTGGGGGCAAACAATTGTTTTTCAAACCAACCTGAACCAGAGTAAGACACCTCTTCATATCTTTATCCCATTCAAGTACATTTATGATATCAAAGTTGCAACAGACTTAAGCAGCTCTGCCTAGAGAGCACAGTCTCCAGCACAGATCTTACTTAACTCCAGGTGGGGGCAAACAATTGTTTTTTAGAACCAACCTGGACCTAAGTAAGACCCTCTTCTTTTCATTACAAAACCAAGTACAGCCATGCAACATATTCGTTAACCAAACTGAGCACATGTTCGGCCCAGAGGTCCCAATAGAGCTCGGCCGAGGGCAAACAGTACAGAACCAGACCGAGCATACGTTCAGCCCCGAGGTCCCAACAATGCTCGACCGGGGGCAAATAGTACAGAAAACATTCAGATATAGAAGCCAGACAGCATCAGATTGTAAACTCAAAAGGAAAATTCCATCATCCAACAAAGACGTAAATGGCCTAATAGCCAACAACAAAGAAAAGAAAAAAGAAAAAAGAAAAATTGTCTGGGCAAGTATAGAGAGAGAACCCGTCAAGGGGACCGAGCCACAGTACATCAAAACAAAAGAAAGTCCAAAAAGCAAAAACTTCAAATCTTTCCAGAGAAAACTTCAGCTTTTATCAACAGAGGGAACCTCAGGAGCAGTGTCCACGATCTTGTCCAGGCCGTCTTGGGGAGGAAAAGTAGAGGCAACTCCGACTTCCTGAGAAGTGGAAGCTTCCTTAACCACATCTCTCGCGGCTTCAGTCTCCAGGGTTCCACTCCCTTCAACGTTCACTGTCTCAATGGCAACATCACTCTCTTGAGTCTTTTTTGCAGAATCAATTTCTGGGAAAACCTCAGCCGAAAGAACTGTAGGGGTAGAAACAATCTTCGAACCCAGGGACCTTGAGGGAACTGGAACATCCTGAAACAAGGGAGAGCCTTTAGGAACCAGGACAGCGGCTAGAGCACTCGACCAACCCTTCAGAAAGAGCTTGTCTCGCAGCACCAGCATCTCTTCTTTATAGGCAGCCCCAGCCTCATCCTAACCTTGTTGCCAGTACTTGGCCTCCAACGCAGAACGCTAGGCAACCATCGCCGCGATAACGGCCTCCAGCTCTGGCACTTTTCCTTCAAGTTGAGCCTGCTCCCCAATAGCAGCCTCCTTTGACTTTTCAACTGAAGCAACAACCTTGTTCAGACGGAAAGCTTCCCTTTCGGTAGTTCTGCGTCCTTCCTTCTCGACCTCCAGGCTCACTATCAGTCTCTCAGCATTCATAACAGCCTCCAATACGACCTTTTCCAGTTCCTTCGCTAGGGGTGATAGACAGATGCATCCTCTGAATGTACTACAACGGATTACAAAGTATTAAAAGAAAGAAAGCAGTAGCATAACACTAAAAACTAGCAAAGCAAGAATGCACTTATAACAGTCATCATCTGCAGGGTCCCCTTCAAAATAGGAATATCGCAGGGCCCATTATGGTCAGCCATGTCAACCAGCATCAACAGAGTCTTGGTCAAGTCAAAAGCAAAGTCTTGGGAAGCAACAACCAAATCAGAGATAGAAATGGGCCTGCCTTGATGCAGCATCGGCGGTTCCCATTTCTCAAGTGCTTCGTCCTCAATAGGATCTTCAAAAGCTTCCCCTACCAATGCCTTGCCGGTCTCTCTCCTCCTCTTTTTTGCCCTCGCAGCAACCGAAGCGGAGGGCTCGGCAGTAATAGCGTAAGTTCCAGAAGCCCCTACCTCCAATTTTACATCCATGAGGCTCTTCGCCTCAGCCTTTAACAAAGGGGTTTCCAAAGCATTAGAGGTGCCAAAAGCCTCAGCCTCCAAATCCACCAGCACTCATCTCTTCGACACAGACCCGCCCCCTGTGAAACTGGAGGCAGGAGAGGGCGTCCTTTCAGGCAGTGTACCCTGGCTCTGGCGACGATTCGTAACCAGAGGGGTAAGAGATGTATCAGTCTCAGTGTCGGAATCTAGAAGGGATGCCGCAAGCCTCGCCTTCTTCGGAATGACGAAACGGTAAGTCGCTTAGCAATCCAACAACTCTGCTACGAACCTCTTCTTGTACCTCAGAACGGCTTTAATGGCCTCAGCATTCTCCCGGTTCGACCTACGCTGAAAACGGGAAGTCTCTACAAGAAAAAGAAAAGGTACCACATTAAAACAACATCCAAAACAAAGGCAAGAAATGCAAAAGACACGAGAGGAAGGATTCGAACCTTGGTAGCCATCCTTCAGGGGCATCCGTTCGGACTGGAATTCGGTTCCAGCAGGGAACTCCCAGTTGCCACAAACTTGCAGAAAATCATCATTGTGCTTGTCTGAATCAGGCAAACCAGTCACCAGATGACAGTCGATCGAACGAACACGTAAGTAGTACATGTTATGATCCTTGTGCGAGAGAGTGTAGCAGCCCAAAATGTCCCAAATATCGAGATTCAAACCCAACCGCATGTTGAGAGCGGACACACCGCAGAAGACACGAAACAGGTTAACAGACACTTGCATTGGGGTGAGTTGAACCTGGTGCAGAAATTGGCGCACCAAAGGGTCGAAGGGAAACTGAACCCCTCCCTCAACGATGGATGCAATCGGAAAGGCGACAGTATTCCTAATGCCCATACGCTTGGCATCGACCCTTGCCAGCGAAAGGGTCACATCATCAGGGATATTATAGTCACGACGAAACATAGCCATGGCCTCATGAGTATCAACTAATGAGCGAAACTTTCCCATTAAACCAAACCTAGTGGTACAGGGGTATAACTCAGATATCAAGATGTGGAATACAACGGTGCAAGAGTTAAGCAAGATGATTAAAACAGAAAAAAGAGAGGGAAAGAAGAATTACAAGAGAACTTACAGAGATCAGAGCAGGCGGTGTTGAAGCAAGAGCGGCAGCGGAACGACTGGACAAAGCACCAACGAGACTGACTCAAAAGAACGAAAAGAGTTTTTTGAAACTCTCTAGAAGAATGAAAAGCAAATAAAGGGTTTTAGATTGACAGCCCAGAGCATTTATTGCAGCAGCCAGTGTGAAGGTACACAAACCACGACCGTCAGCATGGAATCGGCGTACTATCTCTATACACCTATCCCACGCCGCCACGTGTCACCATGAAAGGATGCATGCAGGGGTTGTGTGTCAAGATTGAACCGTCACCAAGGCCGAACTGGGGCAGAACCGAAGCGACGCGACACTTGGAGTATAGAACCGTAGCTCCCCCCAAGGGGAACCTTAGTGTGAGCTAGGGGGCAAATGAATGGGCTAAATAATAAATGGGTCGGACCCAAGCCTTGGGTCGGTCCAATCCCCCAAGTCCAAATCCAAATGGGTCAGATGAGCATGTGGACAGTCCAACTAAGCCCAGTTCCATTACTAACAGTCCACCCAAGTCCTCAAGCACTTAGGCCCAACTCGCAGTGGAAAGGCCAGCCCAGCTGCAATACTGGGCTAGGGCCGAGCTGAAGGACTCATCCTATGGGCCGAACTGATGGGTCAAACCCATCATCAGAACCAAAGTAGGCCGAATCCGTACACAAATATCCGAATGGGCTAGCCCATCCCAACAGTAGCCTCGCAAAGGGCCGAGCCGAGGCACAATGGTGCCGAGCTGACGGAACCTCTCGAAGAAACGTGGAAGCTATGAGTATATGCATGTGCAAGTTGTCACCTCAGCTGGTCCCCTACATCTAGAATCACGGGAACAGTTAAACCAGAAGAATGTGATCTGTTATAAGCATGATTACAACAAGTATGTGCATCCATTATCAACAACTTGGTGGTCCCCTATCTTGAGCAATGTTAAAGGAAGCTTGGCAACACCAAAGCTCCATGACACCATCTTGGGAAACAAGCAAGAAACTCTATATATACCATATAAACTTCACATTGAAGGTAACTGATCTAAGCTGAACCCCACTTACAACAAACTCAACTCTCTACACATCTTCTCCGATCACTGATTCCCACACCGGAGGGGTTATCCGACCAACCCCGGCCAGGCAGCTCTTACGGTGCTTCTTGCTGCAGGAATCTCAATCCTTGGACAGTCTAACCGAATGCGGAGCCCCGATCCACTTTCATCTAATGCGGAATCCGGTACGCACACTCACCGTTAAACATTTTAACGTCAACAAACAAACAATTGCACACTAAATCTCATCCAATGTTAAAATCCTACATAGTTGCATCATTTAAACATATGGAATGGGTCTTCTTTTTTTTGGGGGGGGGAGGGGGGTCCTATTTTGAATAGAATAATTGAATTATTTGATCAAATAAAACTAAGTTTTAACTCTATTTTTGCAAATTAAGGCCTAGATTTTAAAATTATGGGAAATTACAATGAGTTGAAATTAAATTTTTTAACCAATAATTTCATGGACATAATTTGGTTTTTTTTTTTTTTTCTTCTAAAAAAATATGAATGAGCCAATCAATGAAAATTTCCGAAGCAGCCACTAAACAAGAGCCCCTGAATTTCTGTTCCATCTTACTTTCCATTCTTAGAAAAGGAAAAGAAAAAGAAAAAGAAAAAGAAAAATAGGGCATACAAGAGAAGATAGAGAATGAAAGATGGGAGAAATGTCAAGTGAGAGAGAGAGAGAGAGAGAGGGGAAACCTTTGTGAGAGCCAACAAGAACAAACCGAGGCGGTTGTGCTGAGAGACGGATGAGAAAGGGAATGGCACCGATATCTGAGCCGGAGGTGCGTATATCTGCACCAGTATGCATACTGACACCTTGTGCGGCGTCATTGCGAATGCACTTGCCGCCTTCAATACCCCCGCCGCCATAGCCCTATGTCTACCTATATATATCTATATATATATATATGTATATTACAGAGAGAGAGAGAGGGAGAGATGTGGTATGTAGATGATGCTGATCTGCTCTGCTTCTATTGGGACGCTGCAAAGTTGGAGTGGCCACTGAAAATGGTGACGCCGCCGGATTTTTATAAGGGTTTTTGAATTTTTGGCATCTCCTGTGACTTTTTTAAGTAGTTAATTATTAATTTATTATAATTTTGGTTTTGTATCAATTTAATTCACATATTTTTAATTATATATATTTTTTTTTTTGTTTGGGATGTCTTAAATAAGTGTATTTTTTGATTTTTTAGACTAAAAAGTTAAGGAAAAAAATACTTCATCCGTCCCAAAATATTAGTCCCTTATTCTATTTTTTATTGTCCCAAAATATTAGTCCCTCTTTATAAATCAAGTACAAAAATAATGTAAATTTCCTATTTTGCCCGTCTTTTAAATTAATAAATAATTTAAAAAGTACAATTATGATATTGATATTCCCAAGAAATGTACTATCAAAAGGGTAATTTTGGAAAATCAACTTTTTTCAAATGCAATAAGTGTACTATCAAAAAAAGTTGGATTCCCCAAAAGGGACCAATATTTTGGGACAGAGGGAGTATGATTGTTTGGGTTAACTTTTTTGTAACGCCCTCAAAATGATAACATTAAACCCATCAATATAGACATGCATGGATATAAAAAGTTCCACATTCTTCCATTCATCAGAGTTCCATTACCAAAAGTATTACATGTTAACAACAAAAGCAAATGCCCTAAAGGCTTACAGCTTTCCAAGTTAACACTTTGTTACAACAAAAGAGTACTAACTCATTTACACATTAAGCCCTTGGCTTGAATATACATGTAATACATCAAGAAACTAAACAACAAAAGTATGCCCGCCTCTAACCTCCCAAGCTACGTCCTTAGAGGTGGCATGCTACCTGTACCTGAAAATGATATTCCCATATAGGGTGAGCCACAGCCCAGTAGAGATATGCTAAACACAGTATGAGCAATGACTGAGACATTAGCAATTCATAAATGTTCAATTTTCATAAACCAATTCATAGTCCATTTCCATTTCTTACCGATTCCACAATTTCCATCAATGGCTTAGAACCTGACCAACCACTTATATGAAACAAAGACCCATATTAAACATTTCCCCTTATACAATAGATAAACACATTGGTTATATCAGCATCTCAACAGATACGCATGCAAGCTATATCCACATTCAACAGATATGCATATTAGCTATATCAACACTTCCAATGACAAGCATATGAGCTATGTCAACACTTCCAAAGATAAGCATATGAGCTATATCAACACATTATCTGACAAGCATATGAGCTGTATCAGTGGAGTCCATCCCCTATCTCCTCCCACACAACATCTGGTTTAGAGGTTCATCCCCTATCTTCCCCTAAACCGTGGAGTACATCCCCTATCTCCTCTCACACACACAATGCATATATACACAAATGTCATATACACAATCAATCAATACATAATGTTAATGTATTCTATTAACCGTCATACTCTATGACATATCCAATTGATTAGTTTTAGTTTGCCTAATCATCATGCATTGTCTACAACATTTAAAACTACCCTCCACCGGTAGCCCAAGCAATTATTTCTAAACAGATAATAAAAGCTCCAACAGATAAAATATCAATGTTTTCAAAAGCGAGCGATTTATAAATCCAACTCCATCATTTCACACAATAATGAGCCAATTTCATTATTTTCAACTCAATTCCATAAGTTCACAATTTTTCCAAATTAATTATACCAATTAATTTTTAAACAACAAATTAGGGCTTTTACTCCAAACTCTCGATATTAACCCAAAGGTTCCAATATCACCCACCAACGATAATATCATCATTTTGAAACCCAAAATACATATTATGAGCCCAAAATCATAAAACCCTATGTGCACATTTTGAAACTCTAAGTCCCAAAATTTTCCAAGTTCAACACTCTATCAAAATAACTAAAAATCTAGGTCAAAGACCATAAGAGTGAGTATGAATCCCTACCTCAAAGGATGACAACCACTGGAAAAGATGATGAAAACGAACTTGCTCCAAATCACGAGTTTCTCGGATCAAAAGATAGCTTTCGACGATCAACAACTCTTTTGTAAAGGCCAAAGGTGAGGAAATCACTCCTACTAGATTAATACCTAGAGAGAAGGTAGAGTTCTAGAGTGAGAAGCTCAACAATGGTGTTTTTGAAAAAGTAGTAGGGAGAAAGAAAAGCAAAAAGTGATTTAAAATCACCCAGCGGATAACTTATATACGTATGACCCACTCGAGCGGAGAACACAACGCTCGAGCGCCAAGAACAAAAATCTGAACACGCTCGAGCGCAATAAGGCCCGCTCGAGCGCCAAGACACAAGAATAAAGCACTTTCGCTCGAGCGCGAAAACCAGTCCGCTCGAGCGTAGATTTCCCCCTCCCAGAACTTATATCCAAAAAGTACTACTCGCTCGAGCGTCAACAAACCCGCTCGAGCGCCACCGCTCGAACGTAAACAAACTCGCTCAAGCAAAAAAAACACATCTACAGAAGTTTTGCAGGAACATGAAATACTGGAGGTATGCAATCCCCGCTCGAGCGCAAGAAAACCCGCTCGAGCGGATCGCCTAAAAATTGAACAACAAGGAATTGAAACCAAGGCCTAACCAACCTATAACAACCCTGCTCAAAACATCCTAAAACTCAATCAAGTGGAATTAAAGGACGACAACAAGATAGATACCACTACCAACTTTATGGAACCGAGTCCGGAATACAACAGAACAGTAAAGGGACAACCGGGATCGCTATGTTTTTGACTTTTTTATAAAAAATATGTATTAAAAAATTATATAAATTAGTGTGTAGGAAAAGATTTGTTTTTGGGTTGTACGGTTGTGCTTCATGCGCAAGTTGAATAGATGGTAAGAAATAATTATATACTTTTTAGGCATTTCACTGGACGGTGCTTTTCGGTTGGTGGGGGCCATCACGAGTCCCGTTTTGATAATCTGAACCGTTCAATGTGTAGCACTCGTCGAGTACTATATGTCTGTAAAAAATCACGTTTATTGGATATCGATAGTTATCTGATCAGATTTGGTTTTTTTCAACCGTTAACGATAACACAATCATTTGTTTTATACAAAACGGATTTGATCATGTAGTTATCGATATCCGATCAACGTGATATTTTACAGAGATATAGTACTCGACGATTTCTACACATTAACGGTTCAGATTATCAAAACGAGACTCGTTATGGGCCCCCACGGGCCGAACAACAGTGTGTAAAAATATCCGATCAACTGTGCAATTTTCCTTTTGAACCGCAGCACAGATCTGACTTGGTGAGTCGATGAGCTGTATTATTGTGATTGATGAGTTGTATTTTTATGTGTAAAATTAATTTTTTAATATTTTTTTGGGTGAATAGTGATAACTTTTTTAACTTTTTGAGTAACTTTTTGACTTTTTGTCTTTTTGTCTTTTTTGATACATGCCAAACTTATCTTAGTAAATAATAAAATGACTTAATCAAAAAGAAATTAGTCAGTAATAACTTTTAAAACAAAATGTACCATCTTTTCTTCCGTCGCAATTGGTGCTACTATCACCCGGAATTGGAGTGGGTACACAGCAAGCACTATTGTGCTACTCTATAAGCTTATTTTGGTATCCGTTTTGATAATCTGAATCGTTCACATTTTAAAATACATCGAGTACAACATACCTGTAAAAAAATGAAGTTGATCGGATATCGTTAACCCTTTCATCCACTCACATTTGTATTCATTTTAATATTTTAAATCACAATGCCATTTATTTTTTAAGATACAAATGTGAGTGAATGAAAGGGTTAACGATATTCGATTGGTTTCATTTTTTATAAGTATATTCTACTCAACATAGTTTAAAATGCGAACAGTTCAGATTATCAAAACGGATCCCGAAACAAACCCATAAAGCTACACTACAGTGCTTGCTGTGTTGGGTGCACGACAAGCACCCCAAATCCCCACCACTACCACTACCACTCGCCATCTCAATGAAAGTCTTCGACCACTGCATGTTCCTTTTTCAACCAACCACCATCACAAACCCCACTCCAGATTTGGGGTTTTGTGTTTTCAAATCTAAGGTTTTGAGAAGGAAGAGAGGGAGTTGGGAACAACAACAAATGTAGCTACAAGGGTAAATATGGGGTGGGACTCGGAGAGGCGAGGTGGGGGTTGTTGGGGGTGGGAAATGAATGGGGGCAAGGATAGTTGCGGCTACAAGGGTAAATATGAGGTGGGACTCGGAGAGGCGAGGTGGGGTTGTTGGGGGTGGGGAATGGATGGGGGCAAGGATGGTTGCGAAGGGTGCATCAAAAAAAAAATCTAAATATTTAAGTAGCATTTGGTAATGTTTACATCTTTTGTTCATGTTTATAAAAATTTTATAAATTAGTTTTTGTTTATTTTTAAAAAAATATAAATTACAAAGACGTTTAGTTTGGACAAAATATTAGAAAAAATTTAAAAACATAAATTAAAAAACGTGTTTGGTAAGTTTTAAAATATTTATGTTTATTAATTAACTAATAAAATATATATACATATGTAAAAGTCAATCTACAATCAACAAGATCAGTTAATCATATATATTAGTTAATGGAAATAAATATATCATTATAATAATAATAATAATAATAATAATAAAAAAAAGAAAAAAGAAAAAGAGGAGGGGATCAGTGAAGTAAAAAAGATGAGAAATTGCTAGAACAATAAAAAAAGAGAAAGAAAACAGAGAGAGAGAGAGAGAGAGAGAGAGAGAGAGAGCCAAAGGGGAAGAGGAAAACAAGGAGAGTGAGAGAACTCCAAGAGAGTAAGGGTTCAATTTCCTTGATGAAGAATATCCACTTTGTTGGAAGTTGTAAGAAGATTCAAGAGTTGTTAAACAGATATAGAGAGAGAGAGAGAGAGAGAGAAAGAGAGCTATATGGCGTCGATCGTGACTCCTCCAGTGTCGATCCTCCTCTTTCAATCTCAATCCAACCCTGATCCTTTTCCTCCAGCCTCAATTGTGACTTCTCCGGCCTTGATGGACGATACCCCTCTCCCTTTCTCTCTCTTTTGGATTCTTTGAACAACAAAGTGAAGGAAAAGATGAGTCGAGTTAGAGATAACATATATGTTACCGTTGTTGGAAATTTGAAAAATGCTCCTCCGCAAATTCGAACCATGGTCTGTGTGTACTGTAGCTCCGCGTTTTTAGGCTTCCACTTTCTGTTTAAAAACTGTAAACTCATTTTTTTGGTTTACACTTTTTTTTCAAATTTGCAAATTGAGACAACCATTTATAAACCTAAAAAAAATTATCAAACAAGTTTTTATGATAATTTTTAAAATTTTTGTAAATATAAACTGAAAACAAAAACGTTACTAAATAGCCCTTTACTAATTGCTAGAGCTTATATAGAATTGTAGGGTGTGTTTGGTTTGTGTTTGTAGAGTAGTTTTTGAGATAAAAAGTACAAAAATTTGTTTGGTTTATCTTTTTCAAAAATAGTTTTGGAAAATTATTTTGGGAAAGAGGAAAGAGTTTTAAAAAAAGTGATTGATTTGATGTGTATGAAAGTGAGAGTGATTTTGGAAAGTAGGTAACCAAACAAAATTTTAAAATTTTTTTTGGGAAAATTTGTTTAGTTTAATTACTCTTGAAAATTTGTTTGTAGAGAATTTTTCTCAAAAAATTTTATGAAAAACAAACCAAACAATGCCGTAATTTTTTAGACAAAAATGATGATGCTATTAACAAAGCAAAAAATTCTAAAACTTGGCAAACATTCTTGATAATATGAGACTTATTAAAAAATAAAAATTAAATAAAATCCCAAGAGAAATTTAATTTCTGGCTGCCCAAACTTATATTGCCCTGTTAAAATTACTGTAGAAAACTATATGAAATTTGATGTGTGCTATGTACAACTAAGTTAGGCTTGGATCAAAAATTTGAAGAATAAATTGCTGAAATAAAAGAAAAAGATGAAGGAAAAAGTGAATGAAATAAAAGCTAAATTTTTGTAACATTTTCCATTCCTTTTCTTTTCTTTTCCTTCTACAAATCATTCCTCTATCCAATCCTATAGGGGGGAAAGAAAAAGAAATCAACAAAGGGGGGCTTCAACTCAGTGGTACTATCAAGAGAAAAGAAAGGGAGAAGCAAAGCAAACAAAACCACCTACTGAAGAAGACACTTTCAAAGTAGCATCATCAGAACAATTAAAATGGACTTACATAACATATTTTGATATTGTAATCATCAATTAACTTATACTACCATGATGAACAACAAAAAAAGCTTAAAAGTAACATTCTTATAAATGAATGATTGCAATTCAAAATGGGTATTAACCCTTCTACCAATGTATGGAGAAGAAGAATAAAATGTTGCTGCTGCAAACGTGGCATGGCAATACTCTCTTTCGGCCTATTCTATACATCATGGTCGTTGGATTTAAGTAATTTATCTTCCTCATTCAACAAATCACTCAACGGAAGCGGAACGCTTGTTTTGGCGTTCATTTTATTCCACTCGTTTTCTACGCGAAAGAAAACCCACTGAAAGCGACGGAGCATCTCCAACGCGGTGATGGCAAATACAGTAAGGTAATTATGGCGGAGATGGGCGGAGAGCTTGTATGTCCACGTGCATCGCAGGACCAAATTGCTTCCTATTACCCAAAAATAAACCTGCACATACCCAAGCATAGAATATTTATTATTTAATACCTAGAAATAGTTCCCATCTGAAATAGGCTATATACTGACTGAAAAAATAGCATCTTTCACAAATTCATACCAATTCAAAGAATTTTTTGAATTTTAATGTAAAAGATTTATAGACCAAGTTAATTTGGACAATATATCCAAATCCATAGCTATATAATAAATCATTGATTAATAATAAGATAAATATAAATTACTTAGCAACTACGTATTCCTAGTTATCTTTTCGATAAACCTCTTAAAGACTTGAGAATACACGCCTCAACGACCAATGGTTAACAACTAGGGAAATCCCATGCCTCAGTACAAAGGTTGAACCAAACATGCGAGGGGGATGGGTTCCTGGTTCAACTAGAAAGATTAATCTCGTAAACAAAGACAAATGTAAAACATATAAAATACATCCTTACCCATGTCTGCCCATGTAACAGGTGCGAGCAGATATGTGGCTTGCTGAACTTGAAAATCCTAGTGAAGCCACTGGCATAAGAGGAGAAAATTAGGATTAAGTGCTTGATGAGAAATCTGTGCCAGGGCTAAATATGGTTTGATTTGAATGTACACGTTTCAGGGTCGACATCTTACAAGCATCAAAAATTCAAAAGGTTAAGAATAATAAAGCTGCATTGACATTTTTCTACAACTCTAAAATAACCCAATTCATTTTCCAAACTAATCTAGTATGACAACTACTTTTGAACAAAAAATTTTCCCCTAATCACTGTGATTGCATTTAATGATATCTGAATACACTACTAATTTACCTGTTTAGAAACACTATTAAAAATAAAGAAATTAGTAAGTGTTAAAACATGAGCACAAGTGCACACATGCAAACATGTAAAAGAATTCTCAGTAATTAGGTTTTATCTCAATAGTGTGTTAATTAGTGAAATGCATTAAGATGACAACTATGTCATTCATTTAACATTCCTAAGTGGGTAAAAGGACGGTCGAACATACCTCAAGTCCCAATCTCGGGTCACATCCCAGTAGAAAGAGTACAGAGAGTTCAAAACACTCGAAAAAAGCCACAAAGGCCGATAAATGTTCATCCACCTATCAGGCAAGGCATGATATTTAAGGGCTGAAACAAAAATCACCGGTATTGCGGTCGAATATTTTAAAGCTGAAACCATAAGGAAATAAAGTTACTATAGAACAGAGAAAATGCAACAAAGCCTTCTGTATTCTGATATCTTTATAAAAAAACAAAAAACAAAAAACAAAAAAATTAGTGTTGGCCTTTATGTAACCATAATTACATAATGAAGAGCCATAACAGCAAATAATCAATCAAAGGAAAGGAATTCCACATTTCAAAACAGTAGAAAGTCAATGCACGGAATTGGTTCCCAACAATATAAGAGATATAAGTAGTCAATCCAATCAACAAGTTTCACTGCTACGCAAATTTGGCAACACGAGACTATAACTTATTACCATTCAAAAGGGTGGTTTTCTCCCCAGTATCCTTGTATTGTCGAAGACACTGGAAAAAACGGAAGAGATAAGGCAAAACAAGAACTACAGGGATTGCAACAGAGTGGCTGCCACAAACAGAATCAGCCTCGAACCAAGCAATAGTGGCAACCTGCACGTGTTTAGGAACAATCTCTCAACAACAGAAAAGCAATGCATTGGATCGATCCATTTACAGAAAGGTCAGACAATACAATTGCATTTTTTAATATCTAGAATTATGAGAAAGAATATGTCTTAGGATTCATTAGCAATGTCAACATTAAAGAAGACCACCGACCCAGGGACATGAGTTACCAATAGATAGTTCTACCATTTTTGTGCCTCAACCAAAATACCTGATTCTGATTTCCATACCACTGGTAACCATTAGAAGACAAATTGTACATCCAATTCATAAATTTTCAAAGTGAGATGAAGATAGACTCCAAGACAATTCACCACCATTAGAGGGAAATTCTATTTCCACAAACCTAATTATTTCAGTGCACACAATGAAATATTATTTTAATGGCAATCACACCCTAAACTAAAATGACCACAATGGACATCTACTAACACCCATAATATTATATGGAAATATTTTCTGTACATATTTTTTAAAAATAAAAAAAATCTCAATGTACACATTTTGCGTAAAAAAGAACTAAACCCTAATTTTTCCATTGTTGTCACTTTACTTGCTACACACTCTATACTCCTCTGTAGCTTGCAAAGCAATACTCTCATAACAACTCTCATATTACTTTAATATCTAGGTTTATACTTTATTAGTGATGAAAATGTTCGTTTTTTCGTGCAAAACTTTTTTTTCCCCTTTCGCGGTTTTCAGTGGGACAACCAGTACCGAATTATTTTATTATATTCGGACATCAACTGTTGAATTATTTCATTATAATCGGACATCATCAGCCGAAAGTTTTTTTTTTTATTTTTTTCCAGAACAAATTTGTCCAACTAATCATTTTTATTTAGAAGTTAAGTTTCGAATTAAATGTATAATTTCAAAATACCAGTGCCGAAATCCCCAAATCGAAAAACATAAAAAAATAATAAAAAAAACAATAAAAAAAATTAATTTTTTTTTATAAAAAAAAACGAGGGTTTTATGGCAATGGAGTGCACAGAGATCTGAAAATGGTAAATGCAATAACAAAATGAAAAGATGCCTCATCTTCAACAATATTTTGGAAGGTTTTCAATGGCGTTTTTAATGGAGGTTCAATAGAGTCTTCAATAGAGGATTTTGTCTTCATTTCACTTCTTTTTTTTTTTTTTTTTTTTTTTTTTTTGGATAAGTAAGTCATATTATAACCAAAAAAGAAAAATATACAATGAAGTTCAACACACAGCTTTTGATGGGAGCACAAAAATAAACAAAATAAACTACTCCATCAAAAAACAAACTGAGCTTATAGAAAACAAGCACAACATTCCCAACAAAATAAGGATTCAGAATTTCCTTCTAGCATTCTTCAAGTCATGAAGTTTTGCTTTAAGTTTTCTTCTGTTATCCTCTTTTGAAGTCTCCCCATAACTAGGATCACTTGGAGATGGACTCCCTCTATTTCTCAACTCTTGACTTGAATCTCCATTTCCTAACTCGTCCATATCACACGATTCAAGGACATCAAAGGCATTAGATGTTGAGTGAGGGGATAAAAGACTGCGTCTCTCTCTCTTTGTTGATCAATGGCGTTGAACCTTGCCCACCATCTCTCCCCTTTTTCTTCACCACTTCTCATTTAGTCGGAATTTGTGTTTTAGTGTCCTTGACTCTCCACTCATGTTTGAAGGAGGGAGGGTTCAAAGACTTTGGCTTTTGAGGGCACAAATTAGTGGTATGGCCAAAAGTCTTACAACCATCACACCTTTGGGGCTTCCATGGTACCTTAACTTGAATCTCATATGGGTCACCATAACCAAGATTTATTTTGAAAGACTTAGGGATCTCTTTATTTGCTGGCACTTCAATACAAATTCTCGCAAATGTAAGTCTGCTTCTCTTGAAAGTTGGCTCATCCAAATAAAGAGGAGTTCCCAAGATGCTAGTTATGTAACCCAAACCCTCTTCACTCCAAAGTTCCAAAGGAACATTGTACAACTTCACCCACAATGGCACACTTGAAAATTCACACTTTGTTAGTTTTAGTCCAGGTTGCCTTTTTTTAATAACAATCAATCTAGCCCCAACATAATAGGGGCCATCTTCCAAGATTGTGTCCATAGCCTCTTCGCTTTTTACTTTAAAAATAAAAAAACCATTGTCAATGGAGACAACGTCCTCAAGCAAATTTCCCCAAAGTTTCTCCGCCCAAGTTTTCACATAATGGAAAGAGAATCTTTTATCAATGAAGTATCCAACCAAAGCATTGAGTGGTGGAAAGGAGGATTGAGTGGTGTGTGTCTACAAATCTGGAAACAAGGTCACTCAACAAGTGTGTGGAAAGGAGGATTGAGTGGTGTGTGTACAATGATTATGAGTAAAGGGTATAATTATAACTTTTAGTGTGTGGATTGAGAAAATTAATTAACAATCAAATTAATAAGTGTGTATACTGAGAGAAGATGTGCACTGGGCTAATTAAATGTGTGGAAATAGAATTTGCCACCATTAGAGGATCACAATGGCTGAGTCGCCTCACAGGTTCCAAAAACCAAGACTCTAGAGGACCAAGGTTCTGTACTTCTCATGGTATTACCAGTTCGTAACTTTAGCAAAGACAAAAGTGTGTCCAAACTTTAGATTCCCTGACATCCCATAGTCTACAGGCTCTAGGGGACCAAGGTTATGCACTTCTCATGGTATTACCACTCCCAAACTACTTAGCAAAAACAAAAGCGTGTACAAACTTCAAATTCCCTGAGATCCCATAGTCTCCAGAATCCGAAGACCACATCCACTGCAATTTAATTTGAATATACAAGTTAAGGAATCCACCGGACCACATAGTTTCATGGGTGTGAGGAAATATGGCCAATCAAAGAACTCTCAACTCTGAAACATCTGAAATTGATGTAACCACCAGAAAGCCACTACCGTTCGTAACTTTTGAAATGATGAGATAATTAAACTAGAGAGAGAGAGAGAGAGAGGGTTTTAGAACTATGAAGAAGAGATTTCTGAGGTGGATTTGATAAAATGGCCTTCCAAGTTTCTACATCAACATCACAAAAGAAAGAAGAATGAGGAGAAGAAAAATTGCCAGGCTAAATTCAGAGCAGCTTTACAAACTCTTTGTCAGAAAAAGAAAGAAAAAGAGGAGAGTGAGGGTCCATTTTCGGTCTGCAATCTCATTTATTTACCCAAGAAGACCTATTTGTAAGATTTGCAAAATCCTTAAAATGTTTTAAGAAAATATTTCTAAAACTGATCTTCAAACATCCTACTAAACAATAGGACCAATCTTTTTTTGTTTTTTGGGTTAAGGTTATACTACTACCAAAGAGAAGCAAAACACATGTACACATGAAGTATAATGAAGGCCCAACTAGGCATATTCCAAAAGGCTATAACCCCCTAAAATAAACCAAAACATAGAAGAACAAAATCCTCTCGTGCACCAATGATGAGCTCAACATCAACTCTTCTATCAGACAGCAACTAAGTATATCTCTCCAGCTTCCCAATAGCAAGCTTATTTAAGTCATTTTTGCCTCATGTCATAAATTGTGAGAAGAAGCTGCACCAAACTTCTGTCACAGACTTCCAAAATAAAAGGTAAAAAAACAAAGAACAACCCCCCCCCCCCCAAAACAAAATAAGTTGCACCAAACAATGACTATATACTTAAGCATTATCTCAGTTATTGAGGCTTGGCTATGTGTGTCCTAGTTCACCATTCCACTGTCTATAAAGCTGTAGTTACACGTAACTCAACCGAGAACACAAATGAAGAAACAAACAATCACTCAGGCATGGCTGGCATAAAAAGGAGAACTTGACACAATCCAAATGTTAATCCTAATTGGAGTAAATCACAAATTATTAACAAGGCCTAGGATCAACAAAGATATACTGACCTGTTGATGGACCATTCTACAGACTGAACGCTCCAAATCTGAAAATACCTGCATTTAAACTGAAAGTTACAAGCATGCCAAGGAAAAGTAAGAAAATTAATAATTTGACATTTGAAATGAATACAAAAATCACGCAGGATCATTTTATTACTATTTTCCAGACCTTAACTGGAGAGACTTCTACAAGGGGAAGTGCGGTGCCTCGTGGGGTATCAAGAAAGGTGAAGGAATAGACCACTGAGGTCCATCAAGAGTGAAATTCATAAATTGGACTAAATAAGATTGTGAAAAATCCAAAATCACACAAGCCTTTGATGTTGGATCTATTGTAAGCCACAGACAGTAACCAATTTGGGCTGCCAACTCAACTATATAGATGGCTGAATTCTAATGGAAGGGAACCATATGACTTCATGTCTTCAAAGCAAGGTTTCAAAAAGCCGTGTTATGTAACGGTTGCGGTGGTAGGCACTACCCGTTACACCCGCTTTTGCAGTGTGACAGAAATTCACACATGTAACGGCCGTTTTAATATTACATAACGGCCCGTTACACACCGTTACACACATTTACAATATTCTGAACAACTTAAAAAAAAACTTACAAAATATATATTATACACATTCTACAATATTTAGTAGTTCAAAAATAATTTTTTATTCATGCCTCAATTTTTATTTTTATAATCATTTCATTTAATAATTGCAAATATTTTTTATTTAGTTAGTTTAGGTATTGGTCAAAAATAATTTTGTAAACATTTAAAATCAATTATTCTTAAAAAATAAATAAAAATAAGAGGTACAATATGCATTTATGACATATAAAGTTATTAACTATTAAAATAAAATGTAAAAAACTCCTTTTATAGTGATTTAAAAAAATGAAATATATTGGATCATACTTAAAAACTAACAAAAATTGATCAAAATCTATTTTGAACCCTAATAAATGTGATTCTAAAAAAAAAATATGCGTATCAGGTAAATTTTTTCAAATTGTGTGAAAAATAAAAAAATTCACGGCTACCGGAACCATTACGCTACGGCCTTTACACCCCGCAACTGCAACCGCACCACCACAACAGCTTTTTGAAACCTTGCTTCAAAGTAATATACTCTAGAAGAATTCATAAAGAGAGACAACCCTTTTGTGCAATGCATCTTAAAGACGTTGCTAACAATCAGAGATATTTAGGATCTTTCACAAGTCCAGAAGGTACTGTGTACCAGATTCCCATATCAGATATGTTTTAGAGTCTCATTCCTAGCAAAACAGTACAAAACCAAAACGGTTTAACCACATGAGCCATCAACTGATCAAGATTTTCAGTCTTACGACCTCAGCCCTTAGGAGAGAAACACTGGATTCATTAATCAGTTCCTTTGGTTCTTAGGTACTAGAATAATCCCGTTCACCACGAGAATGTGACAAAATGCTCGTACAACATTGCCATCCATTTCTGTAATGCTAAGAATTGTGAGTATGAGGTCGCTATAAGCAATTAGTAGAGACTTAGATAACAATGACATAGACCATGGGATGCATACCTTTGCCATAGAGGTTAAAATATCAGCCAAGAAAAAATCAGCAAATGATATTGCCTGTAACCACCAAAGTAACATCAAGCTCGGGTAAAAAGTGAAAATAACCAAATTAATCCCAAAATACAAATCACTGATAACAAACAGTAACTTTATTTCACCAAGGGCCCAATAGGATCATTAGCATGTCATGAGAGTTTTTTTGGATTAACAACTGCCTATCTGTTAAAACCTATCACCTACTTCACCCACTAAACCTAACCCACTACATCACTACCACCTCACCTACTCCACTAAACCCACTACACCACTACCACCTCCACTTCACCTACTCCACCTACCACCTCCACTTTACCTACTCCATCTACCACCTACTCTTCTATATATAGGAATCATTGTAACATTCAATAAATAAACAATTACAAATATCAATCAATTCATCAATCAATAATACATAAATTCTTACATGGTATCAGAGCAGGTTTAGAACCTAATATTTTTTCTTCACCGGCGGGCGGCAACTTCGCCTTGGCTGCCCGCCGGACCTTAACCTAGTCCGCTAAAATTTTCTACACATACCTTGGTTCCGCTGCCATCTTGGTCACCTTCAAGATCAGAGCATCATCACCATCATCCATCTTGGTCACCTACACCAAACACACAGCTCTAAACGAAGCACTAAAGCAAGAAGTTGAGAGGCTGAAGATTGCAAATGGGAAATAACAACTCCAACTGAGTCCTTTAGCTCGAGAACGCCGCCCGTGCCACGCAGCCCATTAGACCCGTGCCTTACAGCATCCTCTGCCCCATGGAACTTTGTCTGACCTCGTCCACATTATTCCGATCACCGGAACTCCCTCTTCTACGCCGGAAATCTGAGACACCGACCATTGTTCTCCGGCCGGCTCGGCTGACGATCTCGGCGAAGAAAAGGACAGTGATCGAAGGAGTGAGCGACGAGATGAATGCGATCGCATCTCAGAACTTGGACTTCGCTCCCGCTCGAAGGCGCGTTCGATCGGCTTTCAAGGATGCTCAACAACAGCTCGATCATTGCTTGTTTAAGATGGCTCCTTCTGGGATCAGAGAAGATGAGTGGTATGAGAGGAATTCAAAAGGTTTGGAAATTTTCTGCAAAAGCTGGTTGCCAAAACCAGGTGTTCGAATTAAAGGGGCTTTGTGTTTTTGTCATGGATATGGTGATACATGCACCTTCAGTAATAATTTCAATGACATGGTCCATTGTGCTGCTGACCCACACCACCCACCTTTCTTTTTATTATTTTATTTCATCTTTCAATTCACGCTTTACACAACACCTCCTGAGCATCTCTCTCTAATTTTTCAAACCCATTTTCCTTTTCTTCTTTTATTTCTTTCTCTTCATCCAACTATCCACCAACTTTTGTCCCCTTCTTTTCCTTTCTTTTTTTTTATTTAAACACAATGCCTCTCACATGTTTTCATCCACCGCCCACATCCCTCACTTTCTTTAATATATATATATTTTTATAATATATTTTTTCTATCCCTACTTTTATTTTATTTTATTTTTTTCTCTAAAATTGTGACCTCTTTCAATTGAAGTCTTTCAATGCGTCTCTAGAAAGTTTTCTATTCAACAATGTTACAGATTTAGAAGAAAAAAAATTAAATAAAAATTTGATGGGATCCCAGACAAAAGTCTCATTATTTTAAAAGAAGTGAGTTATTTTATGGGATCCCATACTGAAAAATAAAGTGATTTTTCTTTAAAATAATATTTGATTTACTAAAATGAAAGTGTAATATAATAAAATACTGTAGACCAATTAGTGTTTGATTTATTGATTTACAAGTATCTCTCATTAGACCATTTCCAGCCATTCACCAAAATTTTCATCTAATTTGATTTTGAATTTGAATAAAAAGCTTGATTTGATACTGATGCTGCCTCCGTGTTTTCCACGCCGCCGAGCACGTTCACTCCCCCATACTCCTCCACTGCAGCATATGGAGGACCTCCAAATCGGAACATCACGGTGGCCTTCCGCTTCAGCTCCTTATTTTCTGCTTTCAGCACACTTATCTCTACTCGCGCATCCTTATACATGCGTTGGAGCAGAGCCAGTTGGGCGTTTAAATGCTGCACCTCATGTTAAAACCTATCACCTACTTCACCCACTTAAACCTACTCCACTAAACCTAACCCACTACACCATTACCACCTCACCTACTCCACTAAACCTAACCCACTACACCACTACCACCTTCTCTCCACCTACTCCCAAACACACTCCTATATAATAGGAATCCTTGTAATTGTAATATACACTACATCAAGACAATTCATCAATCAATAATACATAAACTTTTACATGGTATCAGAGCAAGGTTAAGACCTTAGTATTTCTCGCTTCACCGGCGGGTGGCAACCTCGCCTTGGCCGCCCGCCGGACCTCAACAAAACCATGCAAGCCTTTGATGGCATCACCAAAGAGTTTGGATCTATTGTAAGCCACAGAAAGCATAACAATCAGAGATATTTACGATCTTTCAATAGTCCCAGAAGGTGCTGTGTACCAGATTCTGATATCAGATATGTTTTAGAGTCTCATTCCTAGCAAAACAGTACAAAACCATAATGATTTAACTGCATGAGCCATGAACCGATCAAGATTTTCAGTCTTAAGACCTCGGCTCTTAGGAGAGGAACACTGGCTTCATCAATCAGTTCCTCTGGTTCTTAGGTACTGGAATAATCTCATTCACCATGTGAATGTGACAAAATGTTCATACAACATTGCCATCCATTTCCATAATTCTAAAAATTGTGAGGATGATGTCACTATAAACAACTAGTAGAGACTTAGATTGCAATGACACAGACCACGGAATGCATACCTTTGCCATAGAGGTTAAAATATCAGCCACGAAAAAATCAGCAAATGATATTGCCTGTAACCAACAAAGTAACATCAAGCTCAGATAAAAAGTGATAATAGCCAAACTATTTCCAAAGTTCAAATAACTGATAACAAACAAGAACTTTATTTCACCAAGGCCACAATAGGATCCTTAACATGACATGAAAGCTTTTTTGGATTAACAACTGCCAGACTCTTTTAGCCTAGTCAATATAAGACAACCTAATTGCAAAACATGCTAATAGAAGTTTATAATCAAGTCTCACAAGGGTGTTGCCAATCGTAGTTGACAAATGACACCTTGTTTGCAAGTTTGTGTGTGCAAGCATGTACATGCTATCAGGAGTGACAGCGTTTTGGTCCAACAGCGACAGACTACACAATGTGGAGAAGCCCTCCCCCTGCCCATAACACCAGCAACCTAACCATTATGACGCAGGATCTGATTCTAGGTCTTTGATACCACTTCCAAGAGACTTTACCAGCTACTTGCTTAACACCTTCGATTTTGGGTGCATGTTATCTACGGTCAATAAGTAGTTTAAGCAATATTCATCAGAATTGAATTGAAAAGAAATACCACTGGAATAAAAAGTCCAAGCTAATGCAATGACAAAGTATCAACTTCAAAAAAATTTAGCAATCAAACCATATTAATCACAATTTTCAGAGAGATGGGGGGGGAGGGGGGGGTCCACTATTTAACCACACCCATAAAATAAAAGTCAAGAAACCTTCTCCAACCAAGTTTAAGAGGAAGTAAAAAGCAGACCCATTTCAGATTCTTGGGACCATGAAAAAGCAAAATATTTAAACTTGTCTTCCAGGGAGCTCTATTAACTGATTGGTAAATTTTACATCTCAAATATCAATTACTTTCAGTTTTCCAAGATACAGAACAAACATCATCAGAACATAATAAATTTAATTTGAGGATCATCAAGAACAGTGTATTTGAAAGTACTGAAAATTACACACCAACCTGTAATGGGAACACTATCCGCCAGAGAGTCCTCAATAAGAAGTACCGAGATGACAAATAAAAAATATCAAATGGAAATAATAGAACCGTTGCAACAGCGGCATACAGGAGCACCTACAGTAGATCGAAAGTAACACTTAGAACAAATCTCATATACTAGATATCACAAAGATTGGGTCAACACTTCTAAACATGCAAGTCTAGATACATGAACTTTTTTCCCGATGTGTCTGAGTGAGAGCATACAATGACCATTACCAATATGTATACAATGGTCTTAAAGAATGCAAAACCAACACAAACACTATCTAACCTAACAAAATTAGGGAATAGAAGTACCAATACATTATTTCATCAGTCATTGCATGCGATAATAAACAAAGGAAACCACCTTGCCACCTCCCCCCTTTCTTTTTTGCAGGATTCCACTTCAGAAGTGTCAGTTCCATTGTGGAACGCCATCCTGCCAATGGACCCAAATAACTTCTTCTTTTTTTCCAAATAGCAACATAACAATTTATTAATAAAAGAAAGGGTAAAGGAAAAGGACATGTCGCATATAGTACACCTATAACGACCCGACGGCACCTAATACAATATTGTCCGCTTTGTCCGCCACAAACAACATGTGCACCCATACACGCACGTCCACATGGCTGCGTATGGCTTTGTTATTCCCAAGTTTACTTGGGAAAAGGCCTTGTACTAAGAAGGTTCAAGATCCCACAAATATAGCACTTCACAACCCATCACCAAGCGATGTGAGATGGGTCCTCACAATCCACCTCCCTAGGACCACATATCCTTGTGTGGGACCCGCCCCTCATTTGGTGCAAGTTTTGATATCATTTCTGTAACAACTTGACCATGTCTAGTATAATATTGTCTGCTTTGCTCGCCACGCACAACGTATGTACCCATACAAGCATGTCCACATGGCTAGTGCACGGCTTTGTTCTTTTCAAGTTTCCTTTGGAAAAAGCCTTGTACTAAGAAGGTTCAAGATCCCACATATATAGCACTTCACAAACTCATCACCAAGCAACGTGGGATGGGTCCTCACAACACCAATCTCTAGAAATAAGAAAAAAAGGAATCCCCTTAAAAAAGAAAAAGACGAAGCCCAAGAAGAAGCCAAATAGACAATTTTGTCCCATATCCCTCAAATTGTCCTCAAAAACATTTATGTTTGTTTTTAACCAAAGAACCCAAAGTAAAATACAACGTACACATCTCCAAAGAACACGAATCTTTATATTAGATCCAAAGCCCCTGTAGTCTTAGTCAAGAACATCTGAAGACAAGATCTCAGAGCCGCCAAGTCCATCTAGCTAAAACACCTTATTCCAAAATGGCATAGCCATAGGACAATGCAAGATTTTTTTTTTGATAAATAAGCAAATTTATTAAAAAAGCATCAAGACGATGCAACCAATACAAGAAAAACCACCCAGAAAAAGACTAAGAAAAACCAGAACTAACCAATCACCTTATCTAGAAAATCTAAAAATACAAATAAATCCGGATCAACCCTCCCTTCCAACCAACTATACAAAACTATAAAAAGACGACTTTGTAACCAAGAAACACTATGAGAAACCGCTAAGAAGATACGACGATTCCGTTCCAACCAAAGCAATCACATCAAGCAGAACGGAGCCAATAACCAAGCTTGGCGCCGCCGCCGGCCAAGACGAACGCCCCGCCAAGCCCAAAGGAAATCAAACACCCCTTGTGGCTAAACCCAAGCAAGGCCAAAAAGTGAACAAACGAAGCCCCACAAATGCGAAGCCACCGAGCAATGAAGAAACAAATGATTCATTGGCTCCGCATCCGCGCAACACATATAACACCGATTCACAAGGATATGCCCCCGCCGCATCAAATTATCCAAAGTAAGATTCCGACCTAAAGCTACCGTCCACATAAAAAAGGCAACCTTAGTCGGAACCCCCGAAACCCAAACACTTTTCCAGGGGAAGACCCAACCAGCATCTCCCATCAAACCCTGATAAAATGAGGCTACTGTGAACCGCCCCTTTGCCCCCAACCTAGTCCATACCAACACATCGGGCCCACCCCGACCGTTCCCAGACCATATAAAAACCCCACAACTCCACCAATTGAGCGACTTCCCAATCATGAACCTGTTGCCGTAACTGAATATCCCAAACTACCACGCCCCCACCATCCAAATAGGAAGCCACTAATGCATCTTGATCTAATGCAATATTAAAAATCAACGGGAAACGGGTCTCCAACACCAACTCCCCACACCACAAGTTTTTCTAAAACCGCACCCTACTCCCCTCCCCCACCTTAAACCCTATCCATTTCCAAAACTCTACCTTGCCCAACCAAATTCCTTTCCATAACCCACACCCATAAGTACAGGTCACAGACCCAGAAACCCAACCCCCTCTACCCAGCCCATATTTAGACGCCACCACCTGCCGCCACAATCTGTAAGGCTCCAAAGCAAAACGCCAAAGCCACTTCCCTAACAAAGCTCGGTTAAAAGTCACCAACCGACGTACCCCCAGCCCTCCAACTCGCTTGGGTTGACAAACCTGACCCCAATCAACCAAATGATACTTTAAATCATCACCACCAGTCCCCCACAAAAAATTCCTCTTAAGCTTTTCTAACCGATGTGCCACTGACACTAGAATAACATGGACCGACATGAAATAAGTGGGGATACTACTCAACACACTCTTGAGCAAAGTCAAACGGCCACCTTTTGAAAGATATTGGCACTTCCAACCTGCCAACCGACGTTGGACCCGTTCCACTACTCCATCCCACACCCTCTCGGCCTTAAAAGAAGCCCCTAAAGGCAAACCCAAATAGGACACTGGCCAAACCGAGACCTTACACCCCAAAACTGCAGCCATAACAGGTAACCTAGCAACCGCCCCCACTAGAATGAGCTCCGACTTCCGCAAGTTAACACAAAGGCCCGAAACCACCTCAAAACAAAGCAAAACACATCGCAAATAACCAACCTGCCCAGCTTCCTCACCACAGAAGATCAAGGCGTCATCCGCATATAACAAATGCGAAACCCCCAAAGGAACCCCCGCCAGTGACCCCACAACAAAACCTTCCAAGAAGCCTTTGCACACACCTTTATCCAACAATCGACTCAATGCCTCCATCACTAAGATAAATAGTAGGGGAGACAAAGGATCTCCCTGCCAAAGGCCTCGATGAGTTTGAGAGAATCCCGCCGGAGTCCCATTAATCAACACCGACATCCGCATAGTCGAGATACAGAACTTGATCCACTGACACCAAGTCGCTCCGAAGCCCATATGATCCAGTACATACAAGAGGAACTCCCAGTTAACATTATCATACGCCTTCTCAATATCCAATTTGCCAATCAAACCAGGGCGCCCTTGGCGAATCCGAGAATCCACACACTCATTGGCAACCAGAACTGCATCTAAAATCTGTCTCCTCCCAACAAACGCATTCTGAGACTCTGACACCACAGTCGATAAAACGCCTCGTAAACGATTTGCCAACACTTTAGCCAATAACTTATACACACTCCCCAACAAACTTATAGGCCTAAAATCCCAAATATCACCAGCCCCTCCTTTCTTCGGAATCAAAGCCAAAAAGGTTGCATTGAAACTTTTCTCAAAATGCCCTGACACCAGGAAATCCGCCAAAGTTGCCATGATATCACCCTTAACCACGCTCCAACAATGCTGGAAGAAAGCCATAGTGAAACCATCCGAACCTGGGGCTTTATCCCCACTCATCGCCCGCAAAGCTCCAAACACCTCCTCCTCAGTAAAAGCTCGCTCCAAACTCTCCCAATCCTCGCCCAGAATCGTAGCAAACTGAACACCTTCCAGGCCCGGCCGCCAAACCCCCTCTTGAGGCCGGAATAAATGCTGATAGAAACCCACTACCCCGTCCTTAAATGATCAATAGATTTCTCCTCTCCCTACAAGAGTTGGATAATTAATAATACCAGCAAAAATTTACCCATAAAATAACAATCTGTGTTGTGTTTAATGTGATATATTTCATACCTAGAGAAAGTTATAAACATGATTATATTGGACTATTGAAAATTGCAGACATTTAATAATATCCTCACTATAATTTATAAAAGGCCATTTGCACAGAATTAGTCCAACCAATACAGGCTGCTGGATGCAGTCAGCAAACTTTAGACCTAGACTTTGGTGCATTTTTCATACGAAGGGCTTGCTTAGTCCAATCTTTACCTTATGCGGCAACATATAGCCATTGAGTATCCATTTGAATATTTTTCAATAGGAAATTATTATCGTGCAAACTCACCATAATACTAAATTAATCCAATTTTTTGTGGAATTCGTAACCATTATTATTACAAAACAACACCTGCATGGATCATCCAACAATTTTTCCACAATATATTAGCCAACAGTAACTTTTGCAGAAATATAAAAATATATAGGGTTTTGAAATTGTTCGCATGCATAAAAACATAAACATAAACACCAAAAACCAATAAAATTTTCATAATTAAATACCATTAAGCTCTCTTTCCTTTTTCTTTCTTTTTTTTGAAGTTAGTAGGGGTGGGGACGATTCAAACATTGCCATCTTACTATGTACCAGTAAGCATACCAAAACTGATGGTGGGAATTACTAGGATGATTTAATCCATCTAGTGGACCAAAACAACAACACTACACATTCACATCCTATCCAAATGTACAATGCAACCAAAATTTCTCACTGAGGTTCTCACTTCTATAAACTAAAATATTCACCATGTTCTCAAACAAACATAACATGACAAGAAGCAAAGGCAAGGAACAAGAGTAACAAAAAGAAAGTTGGTCAATTGATGAACATGGATGACATATTGTGATAACCCTGTTCCATTTTGTGCTAATTGGTCCTTAATATGAATATGATTATATGTTTAATGTGATTTTGTGTGCCATTATGTGAAAATTATTTGGTTTTGAATTTCTATCTGTTCACCGTAGGAATATCTGTTTGACTATCTGCTTTGGAAATTAAATTGAAGGCCTTATCGGCCATAGAACCCGAAATTGATTGCGCCAATGTGATTGGCGTAATTTTTAGAGCCTACGGTGAAGTTTAATTAGAAATTGATTTGGATCAAATTAATCAGATTAAATTAATGAATTAAGTGCCCAATTGTTTTATATTAATAAATTGGAATTAGTGGGACGTATGTAAGGAAAGGCACTACACCCAATTCACTCGCTTGAGCTCAAAAATCAGAATTTGTGTCTTAGAAAAGAGAGAGAGCCGACCTTGAGAGGGAAATGAGGCATCTTGGTGTGCTTTGGCTTATAATTTGTGAATTGGGAAGGCTAGGTGCAAGACTTGGCCACAATTGTGAGAATCAAGGCTCCTAGGTGAGTAACCAACCATTGACTCTTGGATTTTTGTTTGTAAATTGTGAATTCAAGTTTGATTAATGGTCAAGAACACGAGTTAGTTTGATCATAAGGAAATTGGGTTGATTTTGTTGTATTTGAAGTCATGGAATGCATGCATGTGCATAATAACCATGAATTTGCATAATTAAGCATGAAAAATATGATCCATGTAAAATTGTGGCTAGAATCCATGCTTGTGACCACCATTTGTACAATTTGAGTTGAAATGGAAGCCATATCTCACATGCATGTACCATTCATAAGAGGTATGAGCTTGAATGTATGAAATTGTTATTTGAAAGTGAAGTTGGTGTAGATTGGGACATGCATGTGATTAATTTGTGAAATTGAGCTCTATTGTGTTGTAATTTGGTGTTTGTACCATGTTAGTATATGTATATATGAAGTTTGAGCCAAAAATTATGAGTTTGGAACCTTTGGAGGTCGAATTGAGCTCAAGAACAAATTCTGGAAAACCCAGAATTCTTGATGTCCGCTCGAGCGGGGAAACCGCCGCTCGAGCGTGACGAGCTCCCAGCATATTTTGCAGACATGGCTTCCGCTCGAGCGTGAGCGGGGAGCTATGTAGACAGATCTTCAGCTCGAGCGGCCGAGTTCGCGCTCGAGCGTGAAATTGATGTAACCAGTACTTTTGCAGACCTCATGGGTCCGCTCGAGCGGGGAAGTCCACGCACGAGTGGGGACCCTGTTTTCTGAAATTTTGAAAAGACATTCTGTGTTTCATTTTCTGTTCTCTTTCACTTCCAAGTACTCTTAGGCATGCATTGAGCATTGTAATTAAGTTAAAGAGATAAGAATGAAGCCTAAAGAGGAAAATGTGAATTTGGAACGGATTGAATTGTTTGTGACCCTTTTGTGTTCATGGAATGTGTAGGGTCGAGCTCCAGAGCAAACCAACCAACCGATCACTGTGAGTAATGTCTTAACAAGATATTTGAGATATGCTATTGTCCAATTGTTTACTTCTATGTAAGTTTTGTAAGTTTATTAATTTGAATGGTGGACAACGATTGACATGAATGATTGGGCCGAAGGCCGATTGATATGAATGATCGGGCCGAAGGCCGATTGACATAAATGATCGGACCGAAGGCCGATTGACATAAATGATCGGGCCGAAGGCCGATTGACATAAATGATTGGGCCGAAGGCCGATTGATACAAGTGATTGGGCCAAAGGCCGTCTGCTGTAACTGTTTCAAAGATTGCTTATGTATCTTCCTTATTCAATATTATTCACTCGGTTTTCGCTCACGCTCATTCATGTACATGTAGGTGAGCCAAGGGACGTCCAGAACCAGCCTCGGTGAAATTGTGAGAAACAGTCCAAGTTTTGAGGAGTCAGCCCAAACGTCTCACGCACGAGACTGTCTTCGCCTTTGTCCTTTGTTCATAGTTTTGTTATGTTGGCGAAAGCATTGGACTACTTTTGTATATAAGTCTTGGGTTCGACTGACTTAAACTTGTGGGACCCTGTATGTACAGTGTTCTATGTTAGTAAATATTTTGATGTGAGTTATTAACACATAAATGTTTGGAATGTTATGGTGTGCATATAAGCACAGCTCTATAGACAAAGTTTTAAATTTGCTTCCGATTGGCCCCTTTACTCTGATGAGTTTTGTTTTATTGGTTTGACGCCGTAGGTAATCTCGTGATTACTGGCCGGTTATGGCCTTAACCCATAGGGGCGGATTCGGGTCGTGACACGTATTGATTAGGTGAGCGAGTCATAGCATTGTTTTTTGCCTGTAGTGCTGACCAAAACATGTAAGCAGATCTGGTAAATATTAGAAATAAAACTCAAAACAATCTCATAATGCAAATTAGAAAAATGTACTGCAATTAATGTAGTTACAGTCAAACAAAACAGATAACAAAGTTCAAAAATTGAATTTCAATGAGCATAACCATTCACAGCAATTAATGGGAAGAGGAGGCATCTATTACACTGGTTGGAATGCAGCCAATAAAACTTCTCCATGAGAATAAAGATAGAGATATGCTGTCATGCTAGTTGGGACAACAATTGTCATCCAGGTGGCACACTGCAATATCAAACGAAATCTATGAAGAAGCCTGGCAGCATATACATATCACAGAAAAACTTTTAGGCAAAGAAAAATTATATAAAGCACTTCATAGAAACAAAATATTATAATTTTCCCGAAACTGACCTCATCTGTTGATGGGGAAGAAGAAGGAACAATATGTACATAGATATAAAGTTTTTCCTTTTTATAGCCATAAGAATAAAAGAAAGAAATGTACTTCACAATGAAAAGAAAAGGACAGGGTTAAAGGTTCAACAGAGAAAGGAGGTCACAAATTTGAATCCATCATAAAACTATCATATAAGACCAGCTCTGCAAAGCAAAAATCCAGAGCAAGGGTTAAAAAAGGGGTAAAATCTGTTGTTTCAAAAATAGCATCTTGCTAATTAGAAAAGAAATTAGAAGAAGAGTCCAACTACTTGTCAACAGTTTGTCTAACTTAACATGCAGTGATACAACACTGTTACGAAAAGGGGGATAATCAAAATTTAGAGGCATAGAAAACCTTGATGCAAATTAGAAGGAAGATGAGCCTAGATGTTGGAGACATTCAAGACATTTTCCAAAGAGGAAGTAGAAAGTTTTTAAGGAGAAAATCAAGCAGTTCGAGGTTTAACAAAATTCTAGACACAATTTTCTTACAAATCTGAACTAAGCAGCAAGAGATCCTAAAACCAGCACTGGAATGAGGTTAAATATGGTTCAAACTCAAAAGAATAGAACTTTGTAAAATAGAAAAGGGAAAAATAAAACCAAAAGATAAATATTCTGATAGGTGAACAATTAACTCAAAGTTAAAATTCAAAATATAAGGAATGAAGAAACAAATTTACCACAGAAAGTGAAATATGAAATAGGAAAATAATAGGAGATAAGTTCAAATAGTGAAGAACTACCAAATTGACCTCACAATTGGTTTAATAGCCATACTAACACAAAGTCACCCAAAAAAAGAAGAAGAAAGAACATACATATATGAGAGGGAGAGAGAGAGTATTCATATGTTATAAGTATTGCATGACTGGCAAGTCATTTCCCTAGCTATAAATATAGGTACCTTCCATATTTCTCTGTGAGTAAGATGATTTTGATCAAGGTCAAAAATCTTAGAATAAGGGACACTAGCCAAGGCAAAGACCCATAAATTTACTCCCCAAAGCCAAACCATCATAGTCTGCATCACCATAGCAAAAAGAAAATGTGTTGATATAAGGAAAGAAAAAAAACAAAAACTAATTCAACATGAAAATAAATAAATTAGATAGAATTCACTAACCACAAGAAGAAGAGGATTATAATACAAAAATGCCTCATATAGAAATAGATCCCGCAAGTCCACACTCATTCTCATTACAGAATCCCATCCAATCTAAAACTTATGAATATGGAGCCAATCACAGAATAATAATAATAACAGTAGAAGCAAAACCAAAAGCCTCACAAATTGTAAGACTAAAGTTCTGATAAGAAATGAAGAAAAAAAAATTGTAACTAACCTTGGAACAACCAAAACCCCAGATGAAAAACAACAATACCTGCATATAAACTCAAGTTAAAATATCAAATAGTATATAAAGCCCCAGATAAGAATAATTTCAAAATGGTGCAAGCTCGAATATAAAACAAACACGAGATGATTAACGCAAAATTTCAATATGTCTAAATATATGGAATGTGAAATTACTAGAACTAAAATTGAATATATGGAATGTAACTTTAGTAAGGCGGAGAAAATAACTCTAGTTGCAACAAATCGAGTTTCTAAAGGCCATTTATCAATACAATTTCCAGGCACGCCAGTCAAAGTGCCATTGGATCCAATAGAAGTAGATATATAGAGAAGAGAAGATTGTAAACTAGGAAGTAACAAAGAGTGAATATTTTCTCTAACTATGTTGATTATTAATAAGGATGGAGAGGTTAGAGATGATGTGATCCATAGAACCAAAGTAAATTTTTATAGAATAGTTATAAGGTCAGTGATGCTTTATGAGACACAATGTTGGGCAACTAATAAACAACACATTAATGAAATGAGTGTAACTGAGATGAGAATGCATAAGATGAACGTGTGGTAAAAACTAGAAAAGACAAAATCAAAAATGAATATATTCGTGAAATGGAAAGAGTAGCACCGATTAGAGATAAATTAAAGAGATAATAGGCTAAGATGGTGTGGATTTTGTGCCAAACTGTTTATTCCTGAAGCAAGAGGAGGGATAATTTCTTGCAAATTATCAGCTTTTAGTTTAGAGTAAGCTAACACAAAAAAGCAAAGTAGTGTTGGACTACAAATAAGAGATCCAGTATATTTAGTTTTTTAATAGCTTTTATACTACTTTAGGTAAGTGAGTTTAAAAGAATATTAAATATAGCAAATGGAACCTTGAATCTCCATAGCAAAATTGGAGAAGGCAATATCACGGCAGTGCTCAACGGAGTGCTCACACCCTTCATTTCATTTGAATCTAATAAATGCGAGAACCCTCCCTTGGCGCTATTTCCCAGCTCACCTGCATCTAACAGATATTCCACAACAATTTAGTGCTTATACAAGCATATACAACATACATATATGCCCACCAAGGGATAAAAATTGGTAACCCATATGGATGTGAATAATGCATAAACTAGACTTTTTGGTACCAATATCAGAGACCCAGATATTCTACAACAATTTAACACATATATACAACGGTAATCCACTTTGTGCGACTAAAAAACCAACCAGAAAGTCTAAAAGCCAAAAGTTCAACCCAATTAGCAAAAGATCACATTGCACGCATCAATCAATCACTTTTTTCCTCACAACAATATATTCCACTAAAAAAATCATTTCCAAACAAATTAACTTATTTCATCTCATAAAAAAGCAAAAAATCCACTAAAAAAGCCAACTTCACGAATGGGGCCTTAGATAACAATATCAAATATCGAAAATGCAAATTAAAAAACTAGAGTTTTTGGTACCAATATCAGAAACACAGACATGCCACAACAATTAGGTGCTTACATAACATATATATATACCCACCAAGGGGAAGAAAAAAAAAAATTAGTTAAAACAACGGCAACCCAATAAATATAGATATTCAAAATGCCAAAAAATAAAAAAAAAATAAAAAAACTAGAATTTTGGGTACCAATATCAGAGACAACAAGTCTGCTTCCAGATGAGGAGTGGTAAGAGGACTGTCACAAGACCTCAACCAAACATGGAACAATGTAGCTTAGAATCTGCAATTAAAATGGAAGTGAATTGACTGATCTAACAACAAATATATATGAATTTTAAAGCAATTAATGAATCGAGTGGATTTGAAAACAGATAACAACTTAACAGATATCAATTTGGATTTTGCGATTTGATGAGATGTCACATGAAAATACGAACCCCTCTGCTTTAGGTTTTCCGGGATCTCTCCCCGGGATAGTGACGTGAATGTCACGGTACCGATTAGCAGCAAAAGTGAGACCATATGGGCCGACCCTCTAATCCGACTTATACTGTTTGGTACCAGTTTGACCTCCACCAGATCTCATCTCGCATCTCCCTCCGTAAGCCACGTGTCTAAATTCAGATCCAACGACTCAGCAGCGTACATGTGATTTGAAATGTTTATAAGAGAAAGTTTGCTTAGTTAGGTTTTTCAAAAAAAATATTTTAAAAAAATTTTACTTTTTTATTTTTTCGTATTTTTACTGAATTTTTTTAATATATTCAGCATTTTTATTTTTATTTTTATTTTTTAGACATAACTAACATAAATATACTTAAAAAGTAAAAAAAATTAAAAAAAACTTTTTAAAAATTCACTAAATAGCAAAAATATATATAAAAAAAATACGAGAATTCAATATTTTTATGTGTTTTTTAATTTTTTAAAATATTTTTTACTTTTTAGATATATCTAAGTAAGGTGCATCTAAAAAAGTGAAAAAAAAAATGTTTAAAATTTTAAAAATATTCACTAGAAATTAAAAAAAAAAACATGAAAACTAAAAAACTGACAGTTTTCAAAAAACTTAATCCAAAAAATTCAAACCAAACACACTGAATGATGTGAAAAAGAAGAGAGAAAAAAAATGAAGGTCAAAATATCATATCACATGAGATTAGGGGTGGGCAACGGTTTATCCAAACCGCTCAAACCGCCCAATCCGCCCAACCCGCATATAAATGGGTGGTTTCACAAACATAATGCGGGCGGATGCGGTTTGAAATATGACAAATTTGCGGGTTGCGGGCGGATCGCGGTTTTAACCCGCAACCCGCAAAAACCGCCCGCACTTTAATTATTATTATTATTTTTTTTTTATATACCAACTTTGTAACTTTTACAGGAGCACCATTATATTCTCTATGACACTAGGATCCTTATTTTTAAGTATTTCTCAACTTTCTTAATGCCGTAGAATTATCAAGTCCTAAACTTGGTTTCTTATATGATTTTCATTGGTGATTCATCCACTTTTTCATAATAAAATTTTCCTTCTAATGGTCAGTAGAACTTATAGTTTGATTATTGATTACTGAACTGGTAATTCTAATTGAGTACAACCTTTAATGCATTGATATACATTTTTTTCATGGCAAAAATGCTAGTGTAGGGTCTCTTTGTTTTGGGTACTTTCATTTAATGCATTGATATTCAATTTTTATTTGTAAACTCATCAAAAAATTGTTATCACAAATATATAAAACGAATTTGATGGCTAAATTCGCTGGGAAAAAAAAACTCGAAAATTAATTTTTAAAGAAAAAAGTGTAAACCGCAAACCGCCCGCACATTTGCAAACCCTATCCGCACAAACCGCAAACCGCACTGCGCGCGGTTGCGGGTTGACTTTTTCTCAAACCGCATAGATGCGGGCGGGTCAAAACCGAACCGCAAACCGTACAAAACCGATCCGCGAACACCCCTACATGAGATTCATACATCGAATTATTAGAGTTTTTAATTTAGAATTCTCAATCTTTTTTTCGTTTACACGAAAAAGAGTGATGATAGAGAGTATTAGAGTTGAAATTCTAATGTCAATTTTAATGATGTGGCCATGCATAAAAAAATTACAAAATCACAAGTTAAAGTATCAAATCATAAAGTGGGACCCATCTCTAAAGCTTCTCATTTAGAGGTCTCAAAATTTTACTCATGATGGACAAAAATATAACATAATAGTAATAATAATAATAATTTATCTCATATTTTGTTTTTGTGTTTTTTTTTTATGTAGGGTATCTTGGGCCAACATACGCGCACTATACTAAGTCTCTACAACCTGAACAAGCCTTTCGAAACAGTTCGTCACCCACTAAGTCAACCACCTTGTACTTGTAAAATAAATAAAAGAAAATAAATAAAATTATTTCATGTTATATTACTAAAATAACATTTTATAGGTGTCACACTTCTTTTTTTTCTTTTATTGTAATTTGATAAATCTATATATTTATCTATTTTTTATTTAAGAAACATAGTAAGCCTTCGCTTGGAATATGACTATTTTAGCTTGAGGATAAAAAATCTCGTTTGGGATTGACTTTTTTAATTTTTGTGAGAGAAAAAATAAAATAATTATAATCTGGATGTGACATTTTATCTTATTTTTTAGTTTATTTTATCTTTTTTGTGGCTAAAATAGCCCGAAAACAAAAAAATTATCTCAAGCCTAAAATGGTTAAAAATAATTTGATAAGTTAATATATATTCATCTATTTTTTAGTTTAAAAACATAAAATGGTTGAAGATGGCCATGTTAGGTGCAATTTTTTTTATAAGTTAAAAATTGATAATAAAAAAGTAAAATCTAAAAGCACATATAGTCTTCTTTCTCAATAATTTCAACTAATTTAAGTTATTTATGTCTCATAAATTATAAAGAAAAAATATATCCAACAGTAAACACATAAATTTTTAAAATTTAAAAAGTCGTACGCAACTCTCTATAAGATACACTAAACAGATGGGATTGTTGGTCATCAAACAAGCTACTAGGCTTAAGTCCAGAGTTTAAAAAACTAATCCACATGGAACCAGACGATGAGTGTGTTGAAATCCACTTGTCCAAAGAGCATCAAAAAGAACAAGAAAAACAACAACGATATCCATGCCACGCCATGGGCAAATGCTACAGAAGCCAGTGAAGAATGCACGGACTTCGGTTCAACAGACCGCATGACAGTCAACAGTTTTCCAGCAAACCAACTAGAGAGATAATCAAATCATGAATAAGGAACCAAGAACGCTATCAAATAAAGTCGACAAGACAGATCAAATATGATTTTATAGCATAAGCGTCAGGAACCGAACTCTACAGAGATATATATAAGGACTATATTGTGTGTGAAGCATTAAAAATCACAAGAAGAAATTTCATATTTCCCATCAATAAGAAGAGAAGAAGAAAGAAACGTATAGTGTTGACAACAACCAACATGTAGAAATAGCTTACTCACGAACAATGTTTCAGATCAAGAAAAGTTCAAATTTCCTTTCTGTAACTGAGATGGTCGACTGTTTCAATTATGGCTGACGGAAAGAATTTGCTTCTTGCTCATGGTGATTATTAATCGGTTGGCTAACCACAGGTATATCCAAGCTTCTCCCTTCTGTCTCGGGCCCAATTTCTCTGACATCAGCTATAGTTGCCTCTGTTGCTTGAATATCACTCCATTCACCATCTCCAATGCTTGCTCTAGAAACGCTTAAACATGCTTTGTCCACATTCTCATCTGACGGATCCACGTGCTTTGTCAGTGGCTGAGTGTTACCCGTGTCTGAACATGACTCGGCCTCAAAAACTTGCTTCGTATCAATCTGCTGCCTGTTAAATGGAAAATCTTTGATTTAAATTTGTTCATCCTCAAACACTGAACCTAACAAGTAAACGCACTTTCAAAACTAGAAATGTCATCACTGATTCAAATGGAGTGCAGAAAAGAGTGAAATGGAGGGTAAGGAGGGTCGAGGATTTGTAGAAAAGTACTAAATTATTGAGAAACCATACCATGCTTCAACATGAAGGAGGTAAATTCCACATTTCAATAGGATGGTATGATATTTCAATCATATAATTGCAACAGGGATTATTCCTTTTGGTCTATCCTCCCATTGGGGCAGTCAAACCGATAACAAAAAGGGGACTACAATATCTCATGAACTTACTCACGTTGCATAGCTAGGCAAAATTCTACTTGTACTGCATGCATTATTGACAAAAGGTCCACATTCTAGAAAATTATTAGATACTCCCTGAGTATCATGTGGCATTGTCTACATGTTACTCCCGGCCAAAAAGAAACAACACACACTAAGTGGACCATCCTTTATCTCTTAGTTACCTAATAAAGGTAAGTCAACATGTCCCACCAGATCTCATCTCGCATCTCCCTCCGTAACCAAAAATTTTAGATGAATATATATGAACTTACCAATTTGAGGTGTATTATGAGCTTATTTTTGTAGGATTTGTTGAATACTTTGTGCCTACCAAAAATCATATTAATCGGATATCAATAACTATATGATCGATAATCAAAAAAATAAACAATAAGTTTTTCTTTTGAGAAATAACATAAAAAATATGTACTTCGATCATATAGTTATTGATATCCGATTAATATGATTTTTGGTTCGGATCCTAAAAATAAGCCCATAATACACCTCAAATTGAGGCACAACCCTTAATTCGAGTTTTTTCCTCGTGAAACTGCATCCCAAAGTATACCATGTAATCAACAGCACACAACACATGTATTCACTTCAAATATTGGAACAGGTGAGACCATAAACCTTTGAAGTTGTGCTTGTAACATGTTCACATATGCAAGAAGCTCTTGCTTCTCCTTTAAAGCTGCTGCCTCTTTTTGTGTAGCTTCCTTTACTCTAGCTTCAGCATCTGCCTCTGCAACCCTGACTTTTTCCTCGGCCCTAACAACAGCTCCTTCTAGTATCACAACACGCTCTCTAGCTTTTGCAAGCTCAGAACGCCATAAATGCGCTTCCTGAAGAGCAGAATCTCTCTGCTTAATAAGTTGATCTCTTTCTTTACTTAGAACTGTAACCTTTTCTTCAGATTCTCTTAGCTACAAAAGAAATCCACAACATTAAATTAATAAAAACATCAACAAAATAATAAAACCATGACTGCGTACATTAATATGATTAAACAAGAAATCATCACAAAAGACCAGAATTTATTGCTAAAAGACCAGAATTTATTGGCACCTTCAACTTGGATGACTCTAACCGCTTTTCTGAATCTTTTGTTACGCGCTCAATCTCCACACAAGCAACTCTCCTTTGTTCATCCATGGTATGAGCGGCAGATGCTGCAGCCTCAGCAGCTTCAGCAGTTTCAGTTAGTTTATCAGCAATCTCTTTGATTGTTGAATCCCGAGAACGAAGGTCCCTCGCTAAATGTTGTAGCTCTTCATCCTTGACTCGTAGTGTCTCCTGCAAAATGAATAATCACATCATATATATCATCTATATACAAATAAAAGTGTTTGCCCCAAACTTTTGTCTTTCTCTTACATGGCGCTTACATGGAACTCAATAGTCTCTTATATTTTTTAATGAGGTTGCAAGGGCAATTAACCTTGACCCAATCTCTTTTATTAACCTGAGGATATTGATATTTCTATTATAAAGAATTTATTTTTGTTGGATAATGCAAGAAATCCTATATATCTATCTATTATAACCCAGAAACACCTCATAAGTCCATTATCAACTTAAAACTCTTACTAAAAAAAGGGAATAGAAAGGGGGGTGCAGCAGGAAGAAAAGGAATTCGATAAGCATAAACTGGTCTTCCCAACTGCAAGCTCTCCTTAAAAGCACCAAAAACTCAACCGTAGACAGGCATATTCTACCTCACTTGGTGCTGTCTTCCCAAAAAAACAAAAAACAAAAAAGAGAAGAAAATTAAGTAGTTTCCATCTTATCAATTAACAGCAGGCAAGGGCTATATTTTATCAGGAGACCCCCAAGGAATCACGCATACTAGAAAAGTCTTGTATTCCTTAGTGGCATATGAGTGTCGCTACTCGGTAGTTCCTTCACCTCTAATATAAAATATATAAATGGGAAAGTAACAGTCTACCATCATGATTGTGAGATCATCCATCGGACCATCAGTTGGTCGACTCATCATTGCTCCTAGAGCATTCCTCATGGCAATCTGCATAGCCGCTTCAATTTCTTTAGAAGCTTCCAGGGCTGTCGAATTGGCAGCAGCAACTACAGTAGCAACTGTTCCTAGCTTTGCAGAACCATTCCCGCTTAAAGAATTCACAGCCTCTTTATGTGCCTTTAGAACCAACTGTGTTGCACTGATTTTTCAATTAAAGTAATGAATACGTAAGTCAAAAAAAAGAAAAAACAAACAAACAAACACAATAATTACATATAAAGGGAGTTTTATAGTTGATTAAGAGAGAAGACTTTAATACATATGAAAGCAACATCAAAAAGTCAAATAACATCTGAGAAGATCATTGATAATAGGTAGGATTGTATTCTGTTTGCAAAAAATTCAACTTAATTTAGCTCCTTCACCATTCACATAAGCGGTTTTAGGAAGGGCCTCGAACCAGCATTTTTATGAGAAAGAGACAAATGTATAAACACACACTGTCACACCAACAACATAAGATGTGAACCTGAATGGGAAAGACAACTTCACATGTTCATCAGCCTCTATTTATATACTAACATAAAAACAAAATACAGAAACTTTAGAATAAAACATGTAAAATTTAGTTGTTTTAGTTATAAAACCACGAAACTGTAATACTGGAAGTGACATCTCACCCCAGATATTTGAACAGACAAACAGTACGTAAAGATTTTTAGTTAAAAAAAGGCATGTTTCAGATAATAAATGGAGATGTGTCAGGAAAAAGGATTAAATGGTAATTTCATTAACTTTTCCATTTTCTAATCAGATCATGCTCACCAAAATAAACAAATAAACTCAGTGGCGAATTCCCTATATACTACAAACATTCGTAAATATACAAAATGTTTGCCATGTATAGTGTCAGTTTTCATAATGAACTGCCTAGTCCCTGCTAGATAGGACTACATTCTAAATGCAAGACATAGAAACACAGTGTCAAATAAAGACATGCACAAAATAAAAAAACCATTGGAAAAAAATAACCAAGTTCATCTTCTTTTTATAGGTAAAGAATAACCAAGTTCATCACTCAATCAAATTAGAGCAACAATTTATTGAAGCACTTTACACAGGGAAAGTCTCCAATAACTTACTGTAAAGTTGATACCCAAGCTCTAGCTGCACCAGGAGTTTCTGCACAGAGGAAATAATCTTTTTTCTGTGGTGTCCCAATATCTAAGCAGCATAGTTAAGAATCATGCAATTATTAGCATTTCCAAATCCAGCAATATTTCCAAAGATTTACAATCAAAGTCAACCAAGCAATGCATTCCAAAATTTCACCAATTCAACCCCACTAAAAATGAAAATAATAATGAACATAAAGAAATAAAGGAAAAAAAAATAAAATAGAAGCAGGTCAACAAGGATACAGAAACAGCACCCATCATACTTTGGTAGTCCACTGAAGCAAAGAAAACAAGAAACCAGATTAATAATCACTAAAACCCATACAGAATAACCTGGTTGATTATAATATAACAAAACAGGTTATTTAAAAGCACCAATCTTACTGGAAGTTCACAGGAGATATCGTAATCGTGCTATTTGCATCAAATGTAATGCCTCCCTTAACAGTTGGCTCATTTCTCCTGATCCTAAAGAATGAAACAACAGGAAAGTTTAAGGGAAATTCATTTCGAGGAACAGAATAATGCCAGGAAAAAAAAATTGATCCACGCATTTAACTTACTTGTATTCCATTTTTCCTGTTGTTGGGTCTAAGATTACCCACCTCTCATTCCATTTCCTCAGCTATTTAAAAGAAAAAGGTAAGTCATTACAAGAAGTAGCAATATAACAACAATCTCCCAAAATTTCCAACGCATATGAAGTAAGGCAATGTCATATATGAACAAAATTACTTCCCCACGTTATCCATAGTCCAACTCAAAATTCCCATGCATTCTCCATACATTACAAGGCATGGAAGGTAAAAGAAGTTAACAAAGTCTTCCCTCAACTACTTCTGGTTAGACATATGAATTGAATTTTCACGCAGGGCATTATGTTTTGCCAAATCTTCAGGCCTCAATTTCACTCGTCAATGCATTGGAAGCAGTGTGGTGGAGAATGAGATGGTGAATGAGGAGTTTGAGAAGGTTGTGGATGGAGTCGAAGATTAAGAGCAATAGGAGCAGTGGTAGCAGTGAGGTCTCTATTTTGTGTCTCTGTCATGATCAGAGATGAAGAAGTTAGGGGCCAAGGGAGAAAGTGTGGATTACACACGTAAGCACATGTAGGGCTTGTGTAGTTTTGGAAAAGGGGATGGGGGATTTTTCTACAAGGAATTTTTTTAATTTTAAAACTGAGAATGATTAGTTATGTAGGTAGTGCTATCAATTGAGACCACATGGATGAAAACAGATGGTTAAAGGTGGAGGAGCTCATGTTGAGATGATGGGCCATATTAGTAATGGGTTGGTCCATAGGGTATGTCAATGGATAATGAGAAATATAGCAGCGTTGGACTTGATGGTTGTTCTATGAATGGACCTACAAGTTGGGATGGGGCCTCACAAAAGTTTTTTAATAATCATTTGGGTTGGGCTATCAAGGGCACAGACTCAATCGGATATGGGTGCAGTAGGAATTTTAACGGTGGACTTGGCAATCTCTCTTTTCCATATTTGGTTCGGTGGAACAGTCTAAGTGTGGGTATTCAGGTCGAAGGCCTAGTGCTAGTAGAAAGGATATTTTAATTGTTTGGATTGGGCTGCCAATTCAGTTTCTAACTCAAAAGGGGCTTCGAGTTAAGCATGGTTTTTTTTCAATCTTGTAACATACCCAAACCTTTGACTTCAATTTATGGGGATCACAGAAAATTGGGTGGTGAAGCATTGTAGTAGAGTAATATAGGTGATCAGCTGGTGGAGGCTGAGGCTAACAGTAGTGGAGCTGGAAAGGTTATGTCAGGAGACACTATTCAGGCATGAGGGCAGGCTTTAAAGATAGACCACTATGGGGTTATACAGAGTTTCCATGAAGGAGTTGGGGATTTGGAGGGGTGGTTCTAAGAGATAAGGGTGTATGTATGGGTAGTGGGGAGGGTGCAACAGGGGGTGGATTTGGGGAATTGGGTCAGGGTGGCGAGGGATCAAGGATGTTCGAGGCTGGGCATGTTTTGTCCATGGATCTGGTATTATAGTAGAGAAGGAAAGTTGTAGTGCAGCAGAGGGGGGTTTTGAGGAGAAGGAGTCGGAGGAGGTTACGAGTGTTCAATTGCATAGTCTTTGTCCAGGGATTCTTTTTTTCCTCTTTACTTCATTGTTTAAGGGTTATGGCCCCTCATCACATTCTCTAATACAATTCTATTTTATTATTGATAAAAATAAAATAAAATAACGAGTAGAGCAAAACGGAAAAAGGGGCCATGCCATCCCACTTTCTTTATATCAACAAATATTTGATATATAAATATGTACAAATACATGCCTCAATATATCCATTAATTCTCTCTCTCTCTCTCTCTCTCTCTCTCTTGTTTGGATACAAACAATCCACTGAGAATTTAACATACAACCTCAATTACAAATTGAACTTGACACAAATTGCTTTAATACGATTTATATTAAGACACACCGGCAATAAAATTTTAGGTAGGGTTATTGCACCTTCACTGAGGCCTTCAATTAGGCTACTAAACACCAGCAAACTCAATTGCCTACCACTCACTCACAGTCCACCAAACTCCAGAACACCCCAAATACATATTAATATACAAATAAATATAAAAACAAAATATACCCTTTGATCACCCAATCTATTAACTTAATTTTCTTCATCTTCTTCTTTTTCACTATTTTGGTCATACACACTAAATTGACTTCGTAAAGTTCAACATTTCTCAATCAATTGCACAATCATAACGAAAATTCATAAACTTTACAATAATTCAACAAGTAATAAACAGGATAGAGCAAGAGGGGTTACCGTTTCCGATCGCTTAAGAAGAGGACCCTGCAACAGATTTCTACCAGAGCTGGAAGCTAATTGTCGTTTGATCTTCTCCAAGCTGGTCTGTGTATCCCCATCTCTCTACAAAACAATCAAACTTACATTACTATAACAATTTTTTTTTTTTTTAAAAAAAACAAAAAAAATTAACTTTGCATACATTGATTTTCTTTAAAACACTCCTAGTATTTTTTTTGCATTACCATTCCAGCAACACCAACGTCCCATTAAGTATAATTTCTGCTGGTATTATTTTATTTTAATTTATTTTTTTATTTTATTCCCGCGAAACTGCAAGTCCAATGAGACCTAACAGCCCGAAGAAGTGAAAGCCAAAACCCAAAACTCCACATTTTCCTCATCTCTACTCTGACCTCATACCTTCTCTCTTCTTCCATGGCTTCCAATGGTGCTCCTTCTGGTCACTCTCCCTCTCTCTCTCCTCTCTCTCTCTATATATATATATATATATATATTTATATGTGTTATTATTGTTTTTTTTTGTTTTTTTAAAAAAAAAAAAAAAAATTGTTATGTAATGTAAGTTTGATGTTTTGTAGGAGAGATGGTGATAACAACAGCCAAAACCGCTGTGGAAGATCCAAGCATCAACGACAATACTTAGCTTCCAGCTCTAGAAATCCTTATCAGGGTCCCCCTCTTCTTAAGTCGATCGGAACGAACGTAACCCCTTCTTCTCTCATCTTTGCTATTACTTGTCTATTAATTTTGTAAAGTTTCAGAATTTTTCGTACATGAATTATCTAC